AGTGCAAGCAAAGCCAGCCAAAAACTGATGAAAATATTTGCTTTTAACGCAATGTTTTTCCTTTTTCCATAGTGAATACATATACATACATACACATTATATTTTTGCTGATGTCATTCATGCTCAAGTTTTACTATTATTGCTCTGTGGCTCTGTGTTGTTGTATTTTATTGCTGGCCAAAGCAAGCGCTGTGCTGTGCTGTCATATATCGATTTTATAGCAACCACACCTTGCAGAGCCCTGCAGCCCTCCATCGCATCTCTTTCGCCCCTCGCTCAACCCCTTCCCCACTTCCGCCTTATCGCACTGCGATATCTCTATAATGGAGGCCTCTGCTCGATTTGTACGCATTAAGCTGTAATCTGGTCAAGGTTTTTTCTTTGTTAATATATTTCTTTCCTTTTTTTTTTTTTGCATTGCGATTACTGTGTGGAGCATCTTGTGTTGTTTATCATCTCATCTGCAATTTTTGTTGTTGCTTTTGCCGATTTACGTTCCAATAAACGCGGCAACATGAAAATAACGTAAATGAATTTATATTTTGATTGATATTTTGAGTTTATGACTCACTTTTAGAATGCAGAGATCAAAAGACGAACAAAGATCCATGCGATGGCATTGTAAAAGAATTAAAGCGATTCTGATGGAAACTTAATGAATGCAGCCATAAAATAGATTTTTACAATGAAAATTATGGCAAAATTAAGAGACTACGGAATAATAGGTAATAATAGATAATTAGCAAACTTTGCTTAGAGAAGAAGAGTCCGGAAAATCGTAAATATTTATTTCAGAATTTTCAAGATTTTTGAGCAAACAAATTTGCATGATATATAAAATTCTTTATATACAGAGGGAACTATATTTAGTAGTTTTAAATATTACTTAAAAATTGATTTGTAATAAAAACTTTGAGAAGCTGAATATTTCTCGACTCTCATGCTCATTAAGAAAAGGTCTAGGTAATCTCAAAGCTATGTAAACAAAATATTGTTGTGCTTTAGGCCAAATTGAGACTATCAAACTGCTGGATGCTAAGCTAATGGACCTACCCATGAAGCCCAAGATCTCATCACATTCGCCAGCTCATTCATCACATTAAATTTCTATTAGAATAAACATTTTGCATTCGTTTGGTTTTTGTTTTCTTTCGCACCTCAGCAAAAACGAATTTTTATATCGTTTTTCTTTCTATTTGTTCAAATAAATGGAAAATCTATAGGCAAGATTTTTGCATTCAATTGCCTCTGTTATTTATTTATGTGAATTCGTACGTTTCGCTTTCAAAGCTGAAAATAAAGAATTTTATCTGCACAAATAAAAACAATTTCAATTAAGTTTTTTTTTTCGATTTTTTTGTTCGTTTTTCGTAACCTACTCTAAAGTTTCGTACGGAATCGTTCCAAAATACACATTTATTCACATTTAAAAAAATAAATTCAATACATTTACATGAATATAAGAATATATGTATACATTGTATATAAATATATATGTAAGTGTTGTGCGTGTGTTTCGGTTTGTTTTGGTGTATGCATTTGAATCGTTAGACAAATATTTCTTACATCGAATGCATAAATGCGAAAATATACGAGAGTATCTCTGCATACACATATGCGAGTGTCTGTCTGTCTGTCTGTGTGTGTGTCTGTGTGTGTGTGTAAATCAATATTAGTTTTGTATCCAGTTTGATCTTTGTTCTTTGTCATATTATTATAAATAAATAAATGTTTTTATTTCTGCATACATTTGGTTTTAACATGAATAAAAAATACATTTTCCACACTTTTTTCCGCAGAGAGACTAAAAACATGTTCTTTTTTTTTCTTTACAAGAATATAACATTTATATATATGTATCTATATGTGTATTTAAATAGTATGTAGTTTAGATTAGGTATACATATATCAACAATTTGTATAAGGTAGCTTGTTTAAAGAGTTAACATAAGTACATATATATATATATATATCGTAAACATAATCATATTTAATCGTAATAGTTCAAGAGTTTCTTCATATAGTATATGTATTTATATATAGTAATAACAACAACAATTAGGGCTTTAGACATGGCACATACAGTTCAGATTCAGATCATATAGCTTTTGCATTTGATTTCCGTATATTTGATTCTTATGGTCCAGTTAGGAACTTGGGGACCTACACAAAACTGAATATTTATATGTATAGTGTAGATATATACTCTATATATATTCTACAAAGGAAAAAGAACTTAATTGGAAATTTCATTTCCAGTGACAATAAAAACACAAATCGAAAATTGTGTTGTGCACAACAAAAATACTCAGTATTATTGCTTTAAGCCTGTGCCAAGCCGACTCTAGCCCCGATTCCTATAGCTCTATATAGCTTTATAGAAATACAACATTCATACGTTAAATGTAATAGGCATCAAATGTGGACCACTTGGACATATAGTTGTTAATTGTGCGATTTGAATTCGCAGAAATTGGATTCGAGTCCCAAACGAAAAACTTGAGTACAGCTCAAACTAAAATGTTTTGATGACGCTGCTCACAGTGAAGAAGTGAGGTTCGAATCCTTTAAAAAAAAGTGTAAGTTTCGCTCAATCCGAAAAGACTTCCGAAATAAAATCCAGCACAGCTCAAATTGAGTTCGAACCCCGTAAAAAGTTTAGTACAGTTCGATTTGTTCAATTGAGCAGGTTGCTCATTCCTCACAACTGTCATCAATCTTCTTGAGTCGATTCGAGTCCCGGAAAAGAGAAGCGGGCATCGAACTGTTAAAAAAAATCAAAGTATACAAAGTACCGCTCAATCTTTCTTGTTGAGAAAGTGCAGGACATAGTGTAGCACCAGATCGTAGCAGTACTTATATTCGGTCATATTCTCGACCAGCTGTGGACGGTGTCGCCGCACGGTTTTGACGGCCTGAAAGACATCGACCTCACCGTGCTGTATGACCTGCTCGATGCACGCATTGGCCGCACAGTAAACCCCGGCACGGCTGCGACCATCGGGCGAGACAACACAGACGGGTCCGTAGTCGACTTTATTGCGCCAGATCTCGACCATATTCATTAGATAGACCAGCGAATTGGTTGAGCTCGGCACCTTGTGGCCCATGGGCCAGCAGGTTAGCTGAAACAGCTGGACGGTACGTGTTGGCGCCTTGACGCCCGCCATCATTTCGGTCAGCGAAACGATCTTCTTGTTGATCTTGAACTCCCACTGCTTGATGTTCGTATAGCTCTTGGACATCACGTAGTGCACGGTGAAGACCGGGCCGTATTTCTCCATTTTGGATTTGTTGGGCCAGAACGAGGGATACTGCTGGGACTGCGAGGGCGGCTGACAGAGCACCACCACGGCAGAGCACTCATGATCGTAGACCAGTGACCAGAACTCGCCCAGCGTATGCTTCATGGGCCACTCGGTGACAATGTATTCGCGCGGTTTGGTATAGCCGTCCACGAAGACCGAGTTGATGTAGTCCGTGAAGGCGTTGCCCTGGAAACTGGTCAAATACGGACGAAAGTTGTCCGGCGGTACGCAGAGCACATCGCGATTCTTCTCCCGATTATCCGCTCGATGTCCGCCTGCACAGTCGCCGATCGTAAATCTTGGCGTCTGCTTGCAGATCTGATCGTACTCGGCCTGGTACTCGTTCATCTTGGTGCTGGAATTGCGACGTGCCTTGGCCTTGAGCCGATCGGACAGCTCGGAGACGGGAAACCAGGTCTTGCCGCATATGATGTGCTCCTCCAGCGTGTCATAGATGAACTTGTACTGCTCCACATTCTCGACGAGGCCCTTGCGCGATTGCCGCAGCTTCTTGAGATAGCCAAAGACATTGAAGCACTCCTCCTCCTCGGCCAGCTCCAAATTGGCATCGATGGACATGTAGACGCCGGAGCGTCCGCCACCATCGCTGCAGTGCACCAAAATGGGGCCACGCATCTCCACGTCGTCGCCATCCTTGATGATGTTGCCCACAACGAGACGCACACGGCGCCTGAACTCGAGCAGGGCATTGGAGAAGGGGCAGGAATGGGAATACCATTCCGTATAATGGAACTGCAGTATCAGCCGCTCGTCCGTGACCTCGCCCTGTTCGTTCTTCTTGTAGAGGCGAAAGGTGCGTATGTGAAAGTTGGCCAGCTGCTCCTCTCTCACAATGTTGATATGTATATCGCCGTAGGTCTCGTGCACCTCCATGTTGGGCGGCCAGTATTGCACGCACATGACCTTGGCAAAGTCAAAGGTCTTGGTCAGCATGACAATGGCGCTGATGTTCTCCTGCCACACCATGCGCCAATAGGCGTTCACCGTCTCCTCGACGGGCCCCTGGGTGACAATGTAGGCATTCGGCTTGAGCAGACTGTCAACATAGGAGGCATTCACATAGTCCGAGTCGGGCACACCCGGCAGCTTTTGCAGCACAACACGATTGTAGTCATATGGAATGCACTTGGGATTCTGATTTTTCTCCAGATTGTTCTTCTTGAGCGCATGCCGACAGGTGTTCGTCTCCACCTTGGCGGCCGTTTGAAATTCCAGCTTATAGAGCACGGGAAATTTGCGACGCAGATCACACAGCTTGAGGAAATGCCGCACATCGATGGGCCCGTTCGGTATGGTCTTCGACAGCGAGTTGTTCTCGTCGCGCGCCTCCAGCTTGATGCGCTCAAAGGACAGCAAGCCGCTATTCAGCATGCTCAGCTTGATGGTGTTCGGTATGGAGACGATGGCCCGACTCTTGCGCTGCTGCCTTTCCACGTCATCGTACCGAGCGGATGACCTCGACCTATGCTTGCTTTGCTTTGTCGTGTTGCCACCCGATTTTGTTGTGCTCGTCGTTGTTGTTGCTGCTGCTGCTGTCATGGCTGTGTTGCTGTTGTCTACCACTGCTGCTGCTGCTGCTGCTGACGCCGACTCGGTCGACGCTGCTGCTGCTGCTGCCGCTGCTTCTAGTTGCTGCTGTGTTGTCATCATCAATCAGTGGATGTGCGGGAGTATGTGCGAATGTGTGTGAGAGTGTGTGTGCGTGTGCGTGTGCGTGTGCGTGTGTTGGTTGTGCGTCGTTGCGTATAGGAGGAGGAAGTAACCGATTAGTATTTGTACACTTGGCACAGCATTCGCTTTCGGATTAGTAGTTGCTTTTTATTTAGCATTGCATATGCTTCTTCTTCGTTAGGAATTTGCCTTAAATTTGTATGTTAGCTTGTTAGTAACTGTAAAAATCTTTGGTATTTGTTCACCTTTTAATGCGTCACGCTAAACGGAATTTGTTATAAATAAATATAATGCACACACCGTATATTGTTGGCTAATTCTCTAGTCGTTTAGCAGACTTTTTCCTGCTATTTTTCTGTATTTTTAATTTTTTTTTGTTTTTGCTTTTCGTTTGCTGCTGTTGTGTTTTCCTCTCGGCTCTTCGCTTGGCTTCTCTTCACTACACACTACACGACTGTGTTTGGCTCGTCTCTATCATTTGGAGCTCAGCAGCTGCCTCGTTGGGGCGAATTTCGTGGACGACTGTTCGAGCATCGCGCGATGTTTTGCGCTTTCACCTCAACATGGGCCGAGCGAACGAAAAACGGCCCCAACGAGTGAGAGAGCAACGCGAGCAGCAGAGTGCGAGAGAGAGAGAGACACAGCCTGGCAACATTTTCACCATGGCACATGTGACTGGCGCTTTGTGGGTGCGTAACGGGTATTTTTAGCTATGCGGGTGGAACGGAATGCTGAGAGCAAACAGTGGTGCAAAACCCACTGCTAATTATTATGTGGATGCCTGGCAAGAGGAATAATAAATACTAAAATTTAAAAAAA